TATATATATATATATATAGCAAATATGGATTGGGCCTTAGGATTTCTAGGGCTTATAGCCTTCAGGGTTTCAGGTGTAGGGATTGGTATTCAGGATTTTGATAAAATGGGGCCTTAGTTACTAATGCGGTCAGGGCTTTTGAAGGGGGGTGTATACTCCAGCATAACTACTGAAAGTGACATCTGAAGGAACGTGAAGGAATTATCTTGGTAAAGTATTCAGCGGAGTCTCTGGGGTTTTATGAAGTTCAGATGTTTTGTATGATGCAAATAAAAACCATGCTGAAGCTACATCTTCTTGAACTATGTGCCGCACCAGCAACCTGATTTCGGTCTGCGGAATATGGCTCCGAATCAGACCTCAGAGCTCTGAGATAAGCGGTGGAAATCTTAGAAACCCAAAGCCTATACCTCGGTCCGTAAACCCTGAACCTTATAGCAAGCCCTGAAAACCAATCCCTAGGCCCTAGTAGCAGTTTACCCTAACAAAAACGCCTAAAGCCCCGATTAAACAAGGCCCATGCTGCCTGGAGTGCTGCGCACTGGTTGGCCGCGGCAGCTGCCTGCTCCTGCACGTACTGAGGCCCTGTACTTGGAGGTTCGTGGTTAGTTACGAGTGCAGGGTTTTAAGTAGGTTATCAAAAGCTATAAAGCGCATACTCATGGGCTTATGACTTATAACCCCACTTTGTTCCGAAGGGTTCTCGAAGGCGCGCCTCTTTGGGCTCTCTAAGGCTCTATGCAGTTACTAGCATGTCGGGCGTAGGGTTCATGGGGCTTTCCGGAAGGGTTTAGGGCTTAAGGCTCAGGGCCATAAAACCAAGGGTCCTTCTTCGGAATTTGCCGTCACATGGATCTGGATCTGACAGCTTTCGGGGTATACTACAGTGTCCACGAGTTGCCTGACTTACTTCCAGACTGACCCGATACCCCCATAAGAACCTATGTCGCACCCTCATAACAAACAAGAAACACACGTTGCAAACTTCGACAAAACCTCAATGAGTATCAACTCAGAGGGTGTTTAGGTCGACGTCAAGATTCAGGACTGGTTGGACGCAGGGTTGGGAATTGGGGTTTGAGGTTCAGGGTATCATTGTGGTCGAGGGCTCAGAGTTTCGGGCCTGGTGCTTTTTGAGGCCGGATTTCAAGAATGCCTCTTCTGAAGAAATCAGCGCCTGCTGCCTTAGATGTGATCTACAAAGAACCCCAACCCGCAACCACACACAGTGAACTCTAAGTAGCCTCCCTGAAATGCATAACCTTAAACCGTTCAGCAACAACCCTGGAACACAGTCTTAGAACCTGGCAGCAGGAATGCCCAGTCAATCCCTGGACTGGAACCCAAAAAATTGACATCACCTGCAGTAAGAAATCCAAATTGAAGTTGAACTCTGGCACCCTAAACCCTAAACCCTTAGGGTTTAGGGTTTAGGGTTTGGGGTTCAACCCTAGGCCCTCAGCCCTGGCAAGCTCTGCAACCGAAGGCAGCCTGAAGATGTTGGAGATCGGTAGTCAGGTTCGCGATCTTGCGGGCCACTTGCTTTCCCTGCGGTAAGAACACAGACACAGAAGGATCGGCATGCACAGAACCGTAAAGTTAAACACACTGCATGACTGACAACCTAAGTACACTGTCAGGAATCTTACCGATGAATAGTGAGGTTCGATCATCCAAAGCGTAGCACATTCTGACTGGATTGTCATAGAACAATGGTGTGTTGTGGAGGTTTCCTGCTTTTTCAGTTCTGGCCGCTCATATTCTGAACGACTGTTCTGTGGGAGCTTCACGCAGAAGAGTATGTTTCACCAAAGACATGTAGTCTCTTTGCTAACTTCTACTGATTCTACTGCTACTGCTGCCCGCCCCTCTTGTTCTACCACCGCAGCATTGCATTACTGGAATCTGGAAAGTTCCCCGACATGTTTAACGACCGTATGACACATCATTTGTTCGAACCTCTGTACGGGCATTAGCAGTTCGAATGGGGCATATATCATACGGTGATACCAGCTTTGAGAGCGCATGTGGCGTGAATTGAGGCACCCCATGCAGTGTGTCAAACTTCCCGGCCAAGGCCGCTGAGATCTTATCATCCAGCCTTGTCCTTCTCGTTGTGGATGGCATTCCTCGGAGGTTCTTGTCTGGATCAGCAGGGTGTTTGCACAAGACTCTGGATTTCGTAGGAGAGTCTCGGATTGAGGGACTTTCATAGGGTTTGGGGCCTCCTAGTAAGGTGATGGCAGGTACCGACATGAACCACATACGGGAAACCATCCAAGCACCTGCAGATATCCCGACGAAGGATGCCAAGCCGAGCCGCTGATTCTTCTTGCCCTCCCTCTTCTGGCGCTCCAGCTTGGCAAGGGCCTGTTCATGCTGGGACTTCTCCTGGCACGCGAAAATAGGACGAAGAAGGCAGCAATGACAAAGCAACAACCATACCGCAATCCACCATTGCAGGCCAACAGGTGAACCTCCATCATTAAGTTGACAGCATACTTGGCATATCGTAATCATCATCATCATCACCACCATCATCATCACAATCATTATGAACATATAATCATCTTCACCAGGTGCTATCGTCTTCATCACCGTCAACATCATCGTCGCCAGCTCCTCGCGGTTCTATTGCTGTTCACTTGCTCAACACCATCGTCAAGATGTTCTGCTTGTTGAGGGTTTGGGGTTTAGGGTTCAGGGTTTAGGGTCTCCTAGCTAACCGCATACCTCGCGTCGTGCAAGCCACACTCTCCCTGAAGCTCTTGACCCCATAAAATAAAGGCCTTCAGGTATATGGTACTACAATTATAAGAAGGAGCCCCCCAACAGGTATATTATACTACAATTATAACAAGGAACCTCCAACATAGTATTGGTAAGTATTTAGGACCCTATAGTACCCACCTTCTCGGCTTCACGGATGAGCTTCTCCTGCCATGCTAAGGGAAGGGTTCAGGGTTTAGGGTTTAGCGTTTAAGGCGGGCCGACAGAGCCTGCAGGGCCTACAGGGTGCCAAGGGTTCCACTGCAGGTGGCTTTCCGGGTGCCAGCTTCCACTGAGGGGCTGTCGGCTTCGATGACTGAGGACACGTGGGTTGAAAATCTGCATAGCCCCAAAAACTCACAGGCGCCAACCTTCCCAAGAAACCCAATGTGCACTTTAAAACCGGAATCCTAAACCCTTAACCTGTAGGCTTAGTCTTGTTTTCGATTGTTGCCGCTATTCTGGCAAGCTTTACTTAACAAAAAGAGGATACTACTACGGCCTCTCCTGAGCCCCCTTACAAACCTCCGGAATGCTTGAAGAAAGCAGCGTCTGAAACCCCATGAACCGCTAAAACCATTTAAAAAACCCTCCCTGAACTTAAACCTCAACATCCTACAACCCTATTTCCCGATTTCGCTAGAAAAAGCCTACATCTCAACCTCTAAAGTCTTAGTCTGAATCTGAAAGCCCTATAAATCTAAATCCCAATAGACTCTGAACTCCTGTAAATCCTACATGACGCTAACCGCTAAAACCTCCAAGGCCATCAACAACTCTCCCAAGATCGCCCCTAAACCCTAAACCCTAATCCCCAAACCCGCCTGCCGGGCGACCTCCCTGTCTGCAATCTGGCGGCTAATCTCAGAAGTCAGCCATCGAGCCTCGCAAGGCAACTTGATTGGCGGTTCATCAGACCTTTTGTCATACAGGGCTTTGTAAGGGCTCCGTAGCCCTACTTGTCCAGTATCATGCGGAACTAGAGGTTAAACCTTTGGGAGTATATTGGGACTATATGGGGTTCTAGTACCCCAAAGAGGTCAAAGGTTACCCACTCTACTGCTAGGTAGAGATACATAAGGCTCAACATTGTTCTCTAGGGCTTTAGGGTTTGATACCTGACTCCTTAAGCTGAAAGGGTCGAAGGTTAAGGGCCCAAGGTTTCGAAATACATATATTCTCAGGCTCAGGTTTTGGGGTGGGATTTGTGGTCGTATGTGTGCTTGGTAATGTGTGTGTGTGTGTATATATATTTCCTCATAGTACTGGCAAGGAACCTTGGCGATTCTGAGTCTTGGAGGCACCAGTATTGAATGTCATGCTCACCCATTCAAACTCTGAGAGCTGCCAGGATAGGAGGGTAGTGAATATTTTGTTTCAGTCAAGCTCCGGGCTTTAGGGTCTTAGGGTGTAGGGGTTTATAGGGTAGGGTTTGAGGGTTTAGGGTCTAGTCTCCAGGCCCAGGCCCTCAAGGGAGAACTCTAAGGGCTATAAGAAGGACCCTTGTAGGTTATTGGGGTTAATCTGGAGACTACCTCCCTATATAAGGGGTATATAAGGACTAAGCATGGTTATTTAAGATAATGGGAGTAAGGGTCCCTATTAGGGGTCCCTCCTAAAGCCCTTCGAAGAACATTGGGCCTGGACTGGCGCAAAAGGTTTCAGCTACGCTCTGTCCATCGGCGGGAACATATGCCCTGATGATCCTGAGCCGAAAGTTGAATGCACCCTACATTTTACACCCTATCATCCTTACAACCTCTGGAGACTACCTATAGTCTCCATTGTAGTTCCTTTTTTTGGTTAAACCAATATTATATTAAGGAACCTATAAGGTAACCCCACAAAATCCTAAAAAGGAACTACAATGGAGACGAAGTCCTGAAATGAAGATCCGAGAACCACTGACAAGGTGCCTACCTTGACGGGGCCCTGCGTGTGCTCCAACAGTAGCCCATCGGCTTCCTCCAAAGTCAGGGCGAAAGCACTTTGGATCTACAGTTTCATACAATATGGTATATATCGAATCTACTCTAAGCCTTGCCCAACCATAAACTACCTTTTGTTGACAAGTGTCCTACAAAGTCGATGTTAGGATTTATGTTCAAGCCCTACGTACAAGTCGGTTTTGCAGTTCAAGGACGAGATCTGCGGTTTGTGGAAGTTTGGGGGGGGGGGGTCGAAAAATGTAGGGCTTCGTACTTCGGGGCTGTAGGTGTGTAGGACGGGACTTTGGAGGTCGGAGTGCAGTGGTTTCCTGGGAACTCCCGGTGTTCAAGCTCAAAACTTGCATCCTTTGGGATTTCAGGATTTGGGATGTAAGTTTGGGATGGAATTATCGTAGAACAAGATACCCTGAAACAAAATCCGAATCAGGAGGATCCCAATCTTTGCCCCGGCCCAAAAACGGACCTCTCATTCTAAGCAGCCCCAATTCAGGTTTCGAGTTCAGCTTCTGAGGTTCACCCCCAACTCCACATCCTGAATCTTTTAAGGGTTCCTATGTGGGTTTATAGGGTTGTAGAGTTTAGGGCTTAGGCTTTAATCCTGCGTAAATATTTCCCAGAAAAAACTAGGTACGACAATCTAGGCGCTCGACATTCCTGCAACTATAGCAAAGCAGCTGCTCCAAATCCAGTAAACACATGTCAACCCTATATGAAAAACCTTATACTCCTTATAATAATTAGAATAGGGTTTTTGGGGGGGAATCTTATACGATAGTTACAATTATAAAACTTAGAATAGGGTTTCGGGGCATCTTATACAGTAACTATAATTATACAGGTTAGAATAGGGTTTTGGGGCAACTTTATACGACAACTAGAATCATAATAGTTACAATAGGGTTTTGGGGCATCTTATACGATAACTATAACTGTAATAGTTAGAATAGGGTTTCGGGGCATGGTTTCCTATATTTAAAAAAGATAAGCCCCTTTTGTACTCCCCAAACCCTATTCCCAATGACCAGCCTCGCGTGCCGCCTTCATGTCTGTGACGCACTTCTCCGCCTCGTTTGTGGCTTACCGTTCGGGTAGGCCCTATAACTTCCTAGGCCGTTACAAGCCTTAAACAAAACGTTTCAACAGGAGTTGGGGCTGTAGTTTATGAGCTTTGGCTTTCGGCGTTTTTGAAGGCCTATGGGGCTTGCAGGGAATTTGATTTCCAGGGTTTAGCGGTTGGGCTGAGTATGAGACTACCACAAATCCGGAATGCAAATGCTCGCCACCTCGCAAGCCCAATTTTCCCAATGGCGGCTGCGTGCTTTGACGTGCGGTGCCCGTGACCACTTGGCGTTCGATAGGAGCCGCCGAACATGCTTGCGGCCCCACGCAGCATCAAACGGAGTCTTGCCGCGACTGTCACGCATGCTGGGGCGAGCCCCTGCCTTCAGGAGCAAGCGCACCACCCTCACATGGCCGCGACTGCACGCTATCCACAGCGGGGTTCGTCCAGATTTGTCTGTGGAGTCTACGACGGCTCCGGCCTCCACCAAAACTGTCGCAGCATCCATAGACGCCTTTGGGTTGAGGCTCTCAGTCGCAAGGAGGAGCGGAGTCGCTCCGGCATCGGTTTGTGCTTCGGTGTTCGCCCGGGACTCAAGGAGAACACTCATCACGTCGGACTGTGGGATTAGAGCTGATAAGCACAAGGGCGTCCCCAGTATACCGGTTCTTTCGATGCAAGCTCCGGCTGTCAACAGGCATTGCACCTTGCTTGCGGAGGTGTCTTACGGGATTTAGCTCCAATGCGGGAAATCTCGGCTATTGGCTTCCGGTTTGAAACCATTGGACCCTAAACCCTAAACCCTAAACCTTTGAAACCGTTGGCTACATAATTCGCACCGAAGGCACTGCCGTCAGCTGATGTTGGAGCACGGCCTGGCACAGTGGCGTCCAGGGTTGCTCAGAGCCATTGCCGTTCGGATCTGCTTGGGCTTCCAATAGCAGCTGCATGATCTCAATCTTAGTGTTCCTGGCGCCTCTTAGGAGCAAGTGTCCTGCATTTGGATCCAAAGGCACCTGGAGGAGCCTCTCGACCTCTTCCACACGACCATTCGAGATTGCATCGAGGATTTCCGCTTGAAGATCGCAGGTGCTGACAAGTATTAGCATCACCAGCTGTAGGTCGCGGTCGGTGGGGAAGTCCAGGGACTCGTCATCTTCCAAATTTCTGCCATCCAGCAGAAGCCTCTGACGAAAGCGTGGCAGCCCACAGTAGCCTTGCAGCTGCTTCTTCAAAGCCCTCACAGTCTTCAGCTCCTTACCCGAGATGGCGACCAGCTCTTCGCCGGAAGCTTTCCAGACACGAAGCATTCCGAACGACGCCGGGAAGACTCCCACGAACTGAAAACCAAAAAGCAGACGGCTCAACCTTCTAACTCGAAGCACCTCTGCTATACTGCTACTGCCCATGAAGGAACCCTAAACATTAAACCTACGTCCCGAAACACTAAACCCCAAATCCGAAGTCCTGTAAAGCTAGAGCCGGCAGATCTTGAGGCCAAGACTGAGCCTGCCCGAGACTTTCCTGAATAATCCAGGGCCTCTCAAAATAGACTAAAGGGCCCATTTACATGGTTCCGTTCAGGGCTTCTTTTGGGGGATATGCTACTCTCTAGTTTCTTTCTAGGAGCCCCTGAGGCGCGGTATTGGTAATTAGAATTCCAAATTGCCGGCGGTAGCAATCGTTTCGAGCCGATGGTTCATGGCGCAAGCACAGTTTCGCAGGAATGAATACGGTCTCACCTATCCCTAACCCCGCAGGTACCTACTATATAGGGTACTAGAGCCCCTAGGGCCCTATATAGTAGGTACCTGGGGGGTTAGGGTATAGAATGAGCATGAACCATGGACAGGAGTTGTGGAAGCCAAACGCTGTACGTCCTGGAGCCATAGCTCTGAGAGTACAAAGCCTACATTTTACAGGATCCCTAACCGTCATATCGAGAGCCCAAAAGCCAACCTGAAATATACTACAGATCCTGGAGCGCATCCGGATGCTGAGGTGCGACCTTGCTCTCTTGACACCAGCAGAATGAAGTAATGTAGTGGCCTTAATAATTAGAAAAAGGGTTTTGGGGCCCCCTATACAACAATTATAACAATAAGGAACCCCCCAAAATAGGATTGGCCCTACAATTACTTCTAACCCTGCCACAACGACGATTGCTACGAGAACAACTAACACGCCGAGTGCGTCGGAACAAAAGGCTCCACACTTGGGAAGCACCATTTCTAATGGGCGGCGGCTTGCTTTGACGTGCGGTGCCCGCGACCACTTGGCGTTCGATAGGAGCCGCCGAACATGCTTGCGGCCACGCGCAGCATCAAACGGAGTCTTTCCGAAAATGTCACGCATGCTGGGGCGAGCCCCTGCCTTCAGGAGCAAGCAAACCACCTTCATGTGGCCACGACGTGATGCTATCCACAGCGGGGTTCGTCCCAATTTGTCCCGGGAGTCTACGACGGCTCCAGCTTCCACTAAGATGCTCGCAACATCTAGGGAAGCCTTTGGCCTAAGGCCCTCCGTCACAAGGAGGAGCGGAGTCGCGCCGGCATTGGTTTGGGCTTCGATGTTTGCCCTGGACTCCAGGAGAAAACGCAGCACTTCCGAATCTCCGGCGAGCGCCGTTAAGCACAAGGGCGTCCCCAACAGACCGGCTTTTTCGAGGCTGGCTCCTGCTTTCAGGAGGCATCGCACCTTGCTTGTTGTATATTTCGGTCAGAGGTCCCTCTGAGACAACACTTGCACTTTAATTAGGGGGTTTCCCGTTTTCCAAAAGTAACCCTAAACCCTAAACCCTAAACCTATAAACCCTAAACCTATAAACCCTAAACCCTAAACCCTAAAAGGATGCGGACTCAACATGCAAGACACGGTCTCCAGCTCATGTTGCAGTGCGGCCTGACATAGAGGAGGCCAGTGTTCATCAGTTGCAGTGCCGTTCGGATCAGCTTCGGCTTCCTAGGTTCCCAAGTAGACCACTAACAATAAGGGCACCCTTTTGTCCTACTCTTTGGGTTTGAGAAGGGGCCCCAGAACCAAAAAGGGCAAAAGGGTACTACTGGGGAACCTAGCTTCTAAGAGCAGCTGCGTGATCTCAACGTTTCTCGTGCTGTTGGAAAGAAAACGCCCGGCATTTGGATCCAGGGGTAGCTGGAGACACTTCTCAACCTCTGGCACACAATCTTCCGAAATAGCAGCCTCCATATCATCAACTTGTTCTTCGGAGGTGCCAACAAAGCCCAACATCACCAGCTGTAGGTCGCGGTCGGTGGGGAAGTCCAGGGACTCGTCATCTTCCAAATTTCTGCCATCCAGCAGAAGCCGCTGACGAAAGCGTGGCAGCCCACAGT